GAGCTCCTTGCAAAGCTTTAGTCCCCCCCTTTACCCCTAGAGGCCTCCGCCACTCCGCTGCCTGGCTGCTCCATCGACCCTTTTCGGGCCCAAGACGTCTTCCGGACGGCGTCGAAGACGTGCTTCCAAACTCATAACGTTCCCAATGCGCTCTCTGGGCGCCACTTGGCTCCATCTCCGTCCTTTTTGGGCCCCCTGTTGGCCGAGTCGCTTCCGGAAGAGCGCCTCTTGGGCCCAACTTCGCCTACAACCATGTGTTTTGTTATCTTAGCCTCGTGGGGGTCGCCCAGACGCCTCTAACGGCTAACTTTCGGGCTCGTCTGGGGCATTTCTCAATGCTGAGTTCGACTTCGTTTTGGGGCGCGCTCCGGGGTCAATTTTGGACGATGCTGGTCCCAACTGGGCCCCGAACCAGTCCGGTTGTTGATGGCATTCGGATGGGGATGCGGCCCAACGCGGAGGTGCTCTCGCGTGCGTGGGCCGTCCAGGAGCTCCCCGGGGCTGCCTCGCGCCCTTCTGGGCACCCTTTTGGGCCCTGTTCGGCCCTCGTGGGCGCCTGTGGGGCCGTTTTCGGGCCGTCTATGGCTGGTCTCGGGCAGTGTTCTGGCTACCTCTGGCTTCCTGCTGTGGATAGGGTATACGGGTTCCTAGAGCCAGCAACCATACCACTGATGCGTTGGTAATGATGACAGGCCGCCAAATCTTTCAACCTCCGCTAGGACCCCATCAGTGCAAGCACTAATTGGGGAAATATTGTTCTTAGGACTATGCAAATTCTTAACGTTCTCTGCTTTGTGGGCTCTCGGGGCACATGACGGCCCAAGCAGCCTCCAAAATGGCCCCAAACCCCAAAGGCCCCCAAGAGTTCCCCAAGACGATCCAAGAGGAACTCACGAAGGCTCACAGAGACCACAAAGAGGTACAAGACGCTCCCAAAACGGCCGAATAGGACCCTAAGAGAGCCACAAGGCGACCCCGAGAGGCCCCCAAGAGGCCCCAATAAGCCCCCAAGACGCCTCCAAGGGGCCCCCAAGAGATCCCCAGTAGGCCCCGCAACGACTTGATAGGAGGTGTTCTGGACGCGCACCCCGCAAGGCGAGAGGAACGACGAAGAATGGGCTCTGGCCAAAATAATGTCCTCTACCTGACTCAAGGCAACTTCCTAGGAAGGCGCTTAGCTTCGGCACATCAGCACATCATCAAGTGCGCCCGTGCATGAGCATCTTTTAACCGATCCCTATCCCCGTCCGCATCCCCATCCCGAGCCCCACCATCTCACCACCCCAGTTGGGGTTACACCCTTCGAAACCCGAACGGGAATCGCCAGCATCCCCGTCTTGGAGGGCAAATCGGCCAGTGGGGCCCAGGCCGCGCCGGTTGCGATGGGCATCGGTCAAACGATGCTCCGTGCAAGCACAGAAAACGCACGCCTATCGGGACTCGTGTCGAGTGCTCCTCCCCGGCGCCCCACTGGCGGGGCCCTCCGCGGCGCGGCTCGGCCGCGGGCGGGGCAGGAACGCCGCTCGGCACGCCGCGCCTGGCGCACGACCCCTCCCAGCGGATGGGAGCCGCGCCAGCCCAGGGACGCCGCGCGCTCTCTCTGCGGACGCCGTCGTCGTGGCTTCCACCGTGGTGCTCACGCAGTGAAGCTGCTGCAATCATAGGGGAACAGACAATGACACATACCATGAAACTCGGAAGTCAGCGCCGATCCGAGAAATCAGCGCGGACCTCTGATTTGTTAGTTTTGTTTTTAAACGCAAAATCGGGGGAACGAAGCCCCCAGACAGCCCGGGGGCTCGAGGAGGCATGGAGGAACAATCCCAGAACGACCTAGGCAACAGCGAAGCCTTTCCGAACCCAAACCAGTCCCTGTTTCAACGTCTTGACTATAGCGCCAGCGTGCGCGATTACCTTGAGGCCGCCTCCGCCCCTCTCCCATTGGCGAATCGAATCGATCAGTCGGTTCAGCGATCGAAGTGAGTCGGATCGGCGGAAATCGTCAGCCAAGTCGGGAAGAGTCGAATCGGCGGAAGTCGGCAGGCTAGTAAGGCGCCCGTTGAGAAATTATGATTTGAATCCGACGTCGAATCGGATCAGAACAATAATCAGAAGCGATCGAGATCGAAAAGCAATCAAATCGGATCGGACAAGTCGAAATGAGCCACGCCATCGTCGATCGAAACCGACCGCGACCTCACGCCCCTTCCGTCCAGCCAGTTCGCGTCGGATGCGTCAACTGGCCGCGCGTGCCATGGCACCCTGGAGGTCAGCCGAGCGCGCCGCGGCAGCGCGGGGCGCGCTGAGTGAGAAGTCGCCCCGCGCGTCCACGCAGGTATTCGATCGCGCGGCAACTCTCGCGCCACGCGCGCCCGTGGCCCGAGACGCGAGCTGCACTTGCAGCTCGAGCCGCTGGAATCGCGGCCACAACGGTGGCCCGCACCACGCGATTCCCAAATCCTCAAGAAAGCAATGCCCTTCCCGCCTGGGCAGATCGGCAATGTTATCGTCTGCGCGCGCGAGAGCAGAGGGTGATGGGCGAGAGCGCGGCGGGGCGGGCGGGCAGCACGCCCGCTTCGTGCGACTCCTCCCCGCCAGTCACAGGCTCCTGGCTACTGATTCTGATCTTCAGCGGCACGACCACGTCCACGCGGCCTTTTGATAAATTCGCGCGGCCGCCCCAGCGGCCTCAGAACGAACTCCCGCGACTGCACGCAACGCTTCAAGCCGAAGGTGATACGGAAGCGTTCCTGCGCGCGCAAAAGAAAAAAGCGAGCACTCTCGGCACTGCAACCCTCGGGCGAGTTGGCCTGTGCGCGAGCACTCCTTCGCACGGCCCCACCCGCGAGGTCCCACCTGTTGTTATGAGTATTTGCAGCTTCCCGAATTCCGCACTCATGGCGCTGCGCTGGCACTCACTCTGTCCTACTTGCCAGCTTTCAACTGACTGCCCGTCGCCGCCGTCGTCCTTCCAGGTCAGCGGCACTGGCTGTGAGGCCCTCGCAATATGTCTGTTGCTATCGGAGGTACGACACCCAAGGCTGGTGGAGCTGGTACGGGCTCGGAGGGGCAGGGTCCGGGCAAGGCAAAGACGAGTACGAACTCGTGACAGCCAGCAATGCTGGCGACAAGCTGAGCGCAGGGCGGGGCTAGCTGGCGTGGAAACGCCAGCACGGGCAAATGGAGCCGTGAGCAACACCCGCACGCACGCACGCTTGTGATACGCAGTGCCGCCTCGCGCAGGCCGCACAGGTCCAGAAGGAAGGCCAACCCGTCTTACGCAACCGCACAACCCTGGGGAAGGACAGGCAGCGACCGGGTGGGCAGTGGAGCGGTGAGGACCGACACCCGACACGAAACCCTTTGTGAGTGGCGCCTGGCGGGGCAAGCGCTATCCGAGCAAGTAAGATCAAGGAGCAACATGAGAAGAGGGCAGGGGCAAGGAGACAAGCACGGGCGCAAGCACCCGAGTAACCGACACACACACACACACACACACACGGCGCGGGAGCACGCACACCTGGGCATCCGCCACCAGATGACACACACGCACACCGCACGGTACGCACGGGAACACGCGCGGCCACACACACACACAGATTGATTGACATCGCGGCCACGCACGCGGTGGCACATCTTAGTGGCCACACACATACAATTTGTACTCGGCAGCCGCGTGCGCAGCATCGCAGCGAATCAGAACTGACAACCGAAGACGGAATCGCCACCACACGCCGTTGAAAAACTATCACCGCGGTGCACCACAGACACAACCTTCCACACATACACACACACACACACACACACTGCGCGCAGCATCGAGGCGAAGAAAATGAAGTGCAACGGCCAGGGGCCCGCGCGCGCCAGGCTCAGAGGAAAGCAGCACCACATGCCATCCAGGCGTGGACGAAAAGGCAGAACGAAACGACCACCGACCAGGGAGGGACCCGCACGGAAGGCGAAGTGGGCGACACACACAAACCTTTTGACGATCGCGGCCTCGCGCGCAGCGACACGGCGGCGAAAGTCACCTGGCGGGAGCGCTCGCGCGGCCGACCCTCAGATGAAGGCAGGGACCCACTTGTATCAACCCAGCCATGCGCATACCCAGGCGCAGGCAGCGGGGTACAAGGGGTGAACGCGCCACACGGCAGAACGGCAGTGCGCTTGCAAAACAAAGGCATGGCAGAGCGGCGAACGACTGGGTGGCACACCGCGTGAGCCAGGCGCCCGGCAGGCGTGAGGCCCTGGGGCAAGACGGCCCAATTGTCGCCCAGCGAAGAGGCCGCGCCCGAGTGGGGGCGAAGCCCCGGGGAGAAGACAGCGAACGAAGCGCGCCGGGACGCCCGAGCAAGAGAGGAGAGGCACAGGCCCCGGATGCGGGCCGTGAAGAGCCGGGGGGAAACATGCACACACACACACACACATTCGGGCGGTAGCGGCCTCGCGCGCAGCGACGAGGCGGAGAAAGTGCAACAGACAGCACAATGCGCGCGGAGGCCAGGCCCTCAACGTCGACACACACACACCCCCACACACACACACACACACGCTTATTGTCGGCGGCCTGGTGCCAACATGAGGGGCCCATGCGTGGCCACGGCAAACGAGGCAATGCAGTCACCAAGACCGAAGGGGCAGGAGCCAGTCGCAAAGGCACACGCGGCGCGCGAATGCGCGCTCCCTCCCTCCATTCCTCCGTCCAGTCTCCTCGCATCCTGCCCTCCTCTTTTCACTTGCTCCTTCCTCCTCCTGATCCTCCTTCTTCCAACCTTCGTCATGTTATCCTCCCCTGTCCTGGCTCTCTTGGTATCCTCCATCTCTCTCTCTCTCTCTCTCTTTTTCTTTGTATATATACCCGTATTTATAATTCACACATATCCGTATTTATAATTCACACACATATATATATATATATATATATATATCAAAATCGGAGTCGCCATCTCTGGCACCTTCTTCCTGCCATGCTCGTCGACCTCTGGCTCGTACTCGAAGGC